TCGGATGATGTTTTTGTTGTTCCTAATTTCGATGTTATACTGAATGGGACACCATTGTAGGATCTCATAGATGATACAAAGCATGTTACCCATTGGTAGACCTGGGTTTGTCATTGTGATTTTGGTGTTGTTGACTACTATATCTTGTTTAATAGCAAATTAATTATTTTAGTCTGACTTATATTATATATATATATATATTTTTTACTCCAAATCAAACTGCAAGTCTTGGTGTTTATTATATGAGTCTTAATTAACAAAAATACAGTAATACAATATAAGATAATATTATATTAAAGCTAAACTATGCGATCTTGCAGAATACCTGTTAATAGCCAGTAGCTTCTAAGTGTGATTGTGGAGAAATAAAAAAGTTGTTCAATTTTGAAAGACACTTCTTGTCTTCCTCAATTTTATAACCAGCCTTCATTCCAAGATTGTCATCCCTACACAACTGCTGTGGTCCTATGGAGATAAAAAAAATTTTATTTTTTATAGAAAAAAAAAGAAGAAAGGGAAGTATTAAAAGTGAAAAGTTTGTGTTGACAAATAAAAACTCCTTGAAATCAATCTCAAGTTCAACCATCTACAGCTGGATATCCATTTAATTTCCACCATTTTGTTACTAACCAAGAATGTTTAAGGGCACTTTTAGAAGAGTAATTCATGAAACTTTATATTCGAAGACTTCTAAACTTTGGAGAGGGTTGATATATTATTTGGTGATTTCTCTTCCAACCAGTTTTCTAAGGAATTACAGCTTTATTCAACTAGTGAATAGTTTCAAGATCCCTTTTTCCAATCATTTTCGGGATAATCAGTAACAAAAGAAGCTTATTACTGTACCTGGGATAAGACCTTTCTTCAACCTTAAAGAGAAACAAAACCAATACAAGAGGGAAGGGAGGGGAGCTTCAAATTTCTTCTTTACAAAGCAGACACCTTATCACCTTACTTTTTCTGTTAGAACCAATCACATCATCAGATTTGGTATTGTGTGAGATGGAACATGTAAAAATTATATATCTTGTTTATATTTCTTGTTACATATAGATCAACCAGTCCAAAATTCGAACCAATCACTATTCAAGAATTCCAGTATAACCAAAAATTCAGGGTCAAACTGAGGTAGGCAAAATTCTTTAGAAAAATCAGGAAAAAGTTTATATGCTTGAAAAGATAGAAGGAAGCTTGAGGAAGATGAGAGAAGAGTTCCAAAAACTGTGTTAGTCTTTTTTAAAGTCTTGAATCTCCGGAAAAAGAAAGGAGTGTGTTTTTTCTATAGGTTCTTTTTTCTAACAAAGTTTTCTTGCCTTTAACTTTATAGATAGATATTTCTTATATTTACTTGCAGAAATATAAGAAGTTTATGTCAAAGAAAGAAAAGAACAAGTGGGGGAGACTATAGTCTCTTGGTGTGAATGTTGTTAATGAAAGTGTATAGACTTTATTATAAAAAAAAATAAAAATTTTCTTGGAATGTCTGTTTTTTGTGTTGGCAAAGGAATTAGCAGAAAGAGTTTTTTTTTTTATATACTGTATATAGTTTAGATAATTATATATTTTGATAAACCAATATTTAACTTATGTAATTTATTTAAAAATATAAATTTTTTTACAAATATATATAAATTAACAAAGAATTGAAATTTATTAAAAAAAAAATTATTTAAAAAATTATTAATATATTTTAATTTATTTATTATTGTTTTTTTTTTTGTTTTTTTCAAATTATATAATTAATATATTAGTTTAAAAAAAAAATTAAAATTAGTATAATAATATTTCACTTGATATTATAGTAAGTTTGTATAACTGAATATGTTGTAATTATGTAATTCATAATCTTGCATGCTTGTAATCTGATTGGATAAACAATCAAAATTTAATATATACTTAATTATTCATATAATAGAATACTATAAAAATAGAATATAAAAATAACTATTTCTATCGATCGGTAATTGGTTATAAATTATTACTTACTAAATATGTATATTAGATTTATCGATCATCTGACCAAAACAAAAACTTGCCACTCAATAACTGATGGTAATGTGGCTTTTCGGGCTACGAATATTGCTACGTAGCACCATAAATCACATAAAATTTTCATTAATGCATTAAATACCAAGGCAAATCACCTTATTAGGATTATTAGGTTCGCGACTTTTTATTTTTATATAACGATAGCTTTTTTTCAACTAATCTTTAAATTGTGGATTGTGTATCATTGTTTCGTCATAAATTACTGAAACCCATTCAAAATACTTAAATCTTTGTGATTATAAATTGATCAATTTTAATTCGAGATTTTTTTTTTTTTAAATTATTACTGAAACTCTTCTTCATAAAAATAGCTGTCTTCATTTTTACCGGAGCTATATCAGTTCCAATTTTAAATCAAACTTTCTTATTGTTACTGTTATTTTATCTGGTAGTTTAATAATCTGAGAAGAGGCCTAAGAGGTTTCGTCCTCGCCGAAAGGCCAGCTAGGTGCAGAAAGCGTCTTCTATTTTGTATTATTCCTGGGTGCTCTCTTGGCCTTTTTTTTTATTACCTCTTGTCATCTTAAAAATAATTTGCGATCATGGATAACAATATAATAGAGAAAATTGGTGAGTGAAAATTAAACATTAAATTATAACACTTTTATAGCTCATACTTATATATCTGACAAAAATTTTCTCAAGAGGGCGACGAAAAACAGCCAGAAGCAACGGCAACTGATGGCTCCGAACAGAACAAAGAACCTATAGTCAATAAACAACAAGCTTCTAATGTTACTCAGCAAAAGGAAGCAAAATCGACCGGAAATATTTTGCAGGCAACCATTCAAAAAATGTTTAATCTTGATCCTTCGGACAAGTCGAGATCCGCTAAAGGTTCAAAGGACCAGTCTGCTTCGTGTTCCGAAAATGAAGACGAACGTTTAGATCGAGCCGACATCAAGCGAATTCCTGAGAATCGTCAATCGCAAGTTTATGGTGCTCGAACCGCACAGAATCGATTATCAAATAATCCAAATGCACCAAAACCACGTTTTCAAAGAAACCAAAATGGTTCGCACGTTCATTATTTGCAACCTTGTAAGAAACTTCATCGCATGCACAATATTTTGAAAGGAGTGGGCATTCCGGCCGAAAAATCGTTACAAGAGTATAATAATACAAATGTTGCAAACGAGAAACCGCAAATGAAACATTCACACTCCGAAGTTTCATTGTCAGAAAAATATGGTAAACCACAGGAAATTATTGGAAAAGGTATGTAGTTATTTGCGATATTGCCCTTCTTTGAGTATAATTATATTCATTTATTAATTTAATGTCTTAATAAGGTGCATTTGGTGTTGTCCGTATTGCTCACAAAACGGAGCCTAAAGTACCTGGCGAAAAACTCTTTGCTGTCAAGGTTTGTGTTTTCTTAATTCTATTTGGACTTTTAAATTTTGATACACACAACTTATTCTGTAAGTTAAATAGGAATTCAAGAGGCGTAGCAATGAACCTCCCAAAAAGTATATTAAACGTCTAACATCTGAATTCTGTATTTCCTCTTCTCTTCATCACATAAATGTGATCGACACAATCGACTTGCTTCAAGACACCCAGGGAAATTACTGTGAGGTGATGGAATATTGTGCTGGTGGCGATCTTTATTCTTTAATTGCTTCTCATGAGAAATTGGAACAAGAGGAGGCTGATTGCTTTTTCGGGCAGTTGATTAATGGTGTTAAATATTTGCATGATAGTGGTGTTGCGCATCGGTATGCCTTTGGGTTAATTGATATTTTTATTAATGTCAATATTTCCAACAAATATTTTTTATTTGTTTCTTAAGTGACCTTAAACCCGAGAACCTTCTTCTTACCTTAAGTGGATGCCTCAAAATTACTGACTTTGGAAATGGAGAATGTTTTCGCATGGCATGGGAAACAAAGGCTCATATGTCACGTGGAGTATGTGGAAGCGAACCATACATCGCGCCAGAAGAGTTTACTCAAGATTGGTTTGATCCAAGACTTGTTGACATATGGGCTTGTGGTATCATTTATATGGGAATGATTACAGGAAGACATCTTTGGCGCGTTGCCAAGGAGAATGAGGATAACAATTTTAAGGTCTACATTGAAGCAAGGGCTCATGGTGAATATTTAGCTCCTTTCCAGAAATTAACAAATGTATGTAAACTTTGCATTGTGATCTTTGTAATCAATTAATTATTGACAAAGAAATGTTTTTTTTTTGAAGGGTCGTCGTCGTGTGATGACAAATATAATAGAGCCCAATCCTAAGAAACGCATCACAACGGAACAGATTATCGAAGATCAATGGTTTTCCAGAATTAATATTTGCTATAAATCTCCAACTTTGAATCATAATCTATCCAAGAATATGTCTTGTGGTGCGAACTGTAATCAGAATCAGCGAACTATGAGAAAAACTACTATTGCAAACGTGGTATAAAAAATAAGTGACTTTTTTGTTATCTACTAGAAAAATGCCTAAATATGATCATACCGAGGCAAATCAATGTTAGGCGAATATATGTACTTCATCTTATGCAGGACACCAGTAGGAAATTTCTTTAAGCTTAATAATAAACGTGGCTAGTTTAGATAATAGGTTTTAGTTTCTGCATAATGATGATAGTACAAACTAATGATGGCATCTATGTATCGTAGCCTAGTTTGAAAATTTCTGGATTTTACTCTAATCTAAATTCTGCAATTATCTTATAGTCGTGTGTATATAACATTATTTAATTGTATCATATTCATATGTATATTAGGTTAATCTTTTTGATCTGGGCGTTTGGGCACCCGATCAAAATAAGCCTTCAGATATAGTGATCGAAATAATTATTGTACATTATGTATTTTTAAAGGTAGCGACTTAGAATTTAGCATTAATAATTTTTTTTATCAATGACGACATTTCATCAATTATTGGCATTAATTTAATTGATGCACGCACAGTATTTTTATCCAAATACCGTATTTTATAAATTTCTTAAAATCGCTTGATAATTAAAAAATGTTTTATTAATTTATATTAAAAACACTGAATAATATCTTATTATGCGATTTTTTGTATTGTTTTATAAATTTTTATAAATATTCAAAATGATTGAAAACTAAAACTAATATTTTTGTTATTTTATTACTAAAATTAATGTAACGGTTAAAGAATTATCAGATTTGCCAAGTTTTTATCAACTTAATGCTTATACTATTTAGTTAAGTTTTGTAAAAAAAACTACACTATATTGATATTATTGAATCCTTTCAATTTAATATTTGACAATATTTGATTCGTTCTATTACATATTTATTTTAATATTAAGTATAATTGTTAATTGACAATATTGATGCCAAGTTATTGTGTCATCTTTTTTTTTGGATATTGACTAGATTTGTATTCTCTTTTGAAAATATTACGTAGCATATATAAAAAGATATACAGAATATAGTTTAAGATTATTGTAAAAGATATAGTGTAATACTATTTTCTATCATGCGCTTTATTGTTATTTTTTGGTTTCACATTATTTTTTTCAAATAAAAAGTACAATATAAAAGAAAAACTAATGTTTAAGATTTATTTAAAAAGCTTTTTATATTATATACGTAATATAAGAAAACTTATAAATGACTTTTTGATTTGCTTAATATATAAAAAGTTTTCTTATAACTATAAATAAAAATATATAAGATTATATTTATTTTTTTAATATAAGTAAATACCATTTCTTTATTTTTTTATATATTGCAAAATATACTTTTGTAAAGAAACAACATCTTTTATATACAGTTTGCAGTAAGTTAAATATTAATTTGCTTATAATAATATTTAATTTTTATTAGAAAAAAATTTTAAACTAGTATTTTAATTAAATAATATTGAACAATTGTAAATATTTACTTAAAATTTTTTAAAAAATAAAGTTGTAATAATTAGAAATGAGATTAAAAATATATAATAAATAATTAAAATTATTTTGAATAAATATTTCTATAACCAGTATTAGAATGTTAATTATTATATTATTAAAGAAAAAAAATGAATTAATAATATTATAAAAAAAAACCCAGTAAATTAATAGTGTAGTGATTAATACTTTATAGATCAAATCATAAGATACCAGTTCAATCTTATGTAAGGGTTCTTAAATAAAATTAATATGGTATTTGGTGCCATAATTTATAAAGGTATTATTTCTTAAAAGAAACCATTTTATATACTGATCCAATAGGTATTGAAATTGTAATTTTTTAAAAAAAATGTTATAGTGAAATAATTATCCAGTTGATATTACAATAATTATCAGAAGTTATAAAATATATAAGGTGTTTACTTTTAATGAGTAGGTTTGATGATCACTTCCTTAATATCTGATATCTTTCATACAGATTTTTATCCTAGTCTTATTCCAATCCAGTAATAAATCAGTTTGATAGTACTTATCTCAAGAAGGCATCTGGCAATAAGATTTATTTTTTGCAAAAGTTATGTAAATTGATGTTTAAACAATAAGTACTAGTTATAAGTACCTTAAATATTTTTTGGTATTATTTGAATAGGTAAAAAATTAAATAGTTAACTTAACTGCAGGTAATGGTAAAGAAATTTATTCTCAATAAAACAAGTAAGGATTATGTAACTTTATTTACCATAAGATATTACTCTTAATTTTCTTTTCAAAACTTTTCCTTAATCTCTTCCAATAGAAATGCAGCTTAGATAGTTATCAGTGAACATGCACATTATTAATCAAACAAAGGAATTTCTTTGTTCAATAGATTAACTTTTATACTTAATATAAATTAAGAACAAACTATAGTAAACATTGTTATTTAAAATAATTCCAATAAAAGTTAAATATTACTAGTACTAATATATTATAGTATTGTCTTAAATAAATGTAAATATCATTATAAAAATAACTTTTAATCAGATAATTACACTGGTATATAATAATAAAAAATAATAATAAAAAATAATAATAATATTGTAAAAACAAAATCAATCATTAATATTATATATTATTGTTGTTATTATTATTGTTATTGCTATTGTTATTGTTATTTTTTTTTAATATTTTATTTTATTTTATTTTTTTTTTTAGAGTAAAATGTACACATGGTGCATAATTTTTATTGATACATTTATATATCCAAACAGACATCAAGTGTCTCTACAAATTAACTGGAAATTGATTGGTAATGAATATCCTTTATATCTCTACAGTTAATCTGCAGATTAATACTGCCTAGTATATATATTATTATAAAACTAACTACACTAATCATTATTACCCAACTATATATTTATTTACACATCTTGAAGCTGTATTCACATATCAGGTGGGACTTTTGCAAGAAAAGAATTCTATTACTAGTTTAAATCTGTCTAAATCTGCTGATCCATTATTGCAAGGAGCAAGTTATTATAAAATATTATTATAGAGACTAACTTCAGTATTCCAGTTACTGTTATCATTGATTCTTGATATATACTACTAGTATAGTATTGTACTATTGTTTTCACCATCTGTAAAACCGGCATCCTTGCTTAGATTCTGATTTAATCCTGATGATCCTTACCAGACTCACTTGATCTTAACGATTTTTGCTTGGATTGTCACTATCTATGACAGATAACCTTTGCCTTTTTAGTCCATTTTAAGTTCAGGAGAACACTATCTTGAGATAGATCTTCAAGCTCCAGATTGGAATAGATATTGTTTAAAGTTAACCTCTTTGTGTTGTGTGACAGAGTTTGCTATTGCCAGTTTGGATTAGAGTTTGTAAACTTATACCAAAGTTAAATCAGAAGCTTTTTCTTATGCAACCTTTCTTGCTTCAACCTGTTTTCAGCTTACAATTGTTAGAAAGACCAGAGGTCCTATCTTTATGCAACCTAACTAAATTTAGAAATTAATTATTGGCTAATTGGGTATGACATGAATTAGAAGCTGGTCAATTAATCATGAAAGTGATAAATTTTTATAACCAGGTGCATTTGAACCCTAGACCTTCTCTTAATAATTTATAAAGTATTACCACTATGCTATAGACCCATAGGTCTTATATTATATTTTATTTTATATTTATAGATAATAAGATATTTACTGTATATTAATTACAATTTTGTATATAGTTTATAAAATTTCAAATTGAAATTATCTGAAAAGCAATAGATTTTTGAATCTAATAAATATAAGAACTGCTTATCAAAATTTAAGAGAAGAATATAAATTAAGTAAAGATTTAAAAATTTTTGTATATTTAGCAAAGCAAGTTTAACAAAAATTTATTATTGAAGTAATTATTAATAATAATTATTCTTCTTTATTTAAACTAATATCATTTACAAAATAAAAAGCAAGAATACAAAAAAATAAAGAAATGTAATTAAAGCAAAAATTTTGTTAAAGATAGAAACTTTATTTAAACAGCTCTGTGAAAATGCATAGAAAAAATATTTTAATTTACTATTACAAACAAAAAACAAAGCGAATTGTTAAATATATTAAATAAAATAAAGTATTTATTTAATTCAGATTATTAAAAAATTTGTGATTTATATATATAGATATCAATTTTATAAATTAAATATTATTATTATTTATAAAAAATTCAGAAAAGAAATCTAAATAATTTGATTAACATTCTATACTTGTTATAGTACAATTAATATGCTTACAAATATAATATATTTCTTAACTATATTCAAAAATCTTATATAAAGATAATAATAGTATTGATAAAAAATTTTTGCAATTTCAAACTGTCAACCAATTTCAAATATCTCTAAAATACTTATAGAATTTATATAGTTATTAGAGTTTAAGATTCTTTTTTTTAATTGGTCAAGAGTAGTGATTATACCCCAATATCTTATAACCGGTTAACTGTTAAGTTATTAAGATAACCGGATTTTATAATTTATTAACAGATTAAAAATT